TCGGGGCGCCGGATTCTGTCCCGGTTGCCCCTCTTCCAGGCCAGCTCTCTGCTGTGGCCCGGGAGTGCAGTGGAGGATGGCCCAAGTGCTTGGGCCCTGCACCCGCATGGGAGACCAGGAGAAGCACCTGGTTCCTGGCTTCGGATCAGCGCGGTGCGCTGGCTGCGGCGGCCATTGGAGGGTGAATCAACGGCAAAAAAGGAAGACCTTTCTTTCTGTCTCTCTCTCTCTCACTGTCCACTCTGCCTGTCAAAAAAAAAAAAAAAGACCTTATACCATTCGTAATTCAAGTAGACATCTATTGAATAATGGTAAAATCAGTACTGCATAGGCAGCAAGAGCAGATGGAGTTGAGGGAAGCAGTAAATGTGCAGCTGTTAGAGGAAGGTGAATTGACTTCCTAAGTCCTGCATTTGTCTTCTATTTGCACTGCCTGATTAGCACAGTTAAAGTAGCTGCACTTTTCAGTTTAGTCCTCACTAGGTAAGCCTACCTTGCAACCTGAGCTTCACCTTACCCTGGGGGTGAAACCAGGGAGAAAGTTGATAATCAGGTTTTCCAGCTCACGCCTCATTGTCTACAAGAGCATGATTTTTATTCAAATAATTGCTTGGAAGAAGTGTTCTGTGCCAAAATAAAGAGTGATTTGCAGTGGAAAAAAGGAAAAGAAATTCACTTAGCAAAATCCTAAAAGCCAACTTCTAGAAAACTTTGCTGCCAAAGCACACCTACAAAATTCTGAGACAGCCATTAGCAAGGAGTGAACATCAAAAGAATTAGCATCACTTCTCCAAACCAGAAAGGCAAAGAAGTTCATCTCACTTCTGGAATTATCTTTCCCTCTTTGTCAGATGCCTTCTAGGTTAGAATTTGGATAGGTGGAATGCTTAAGTCTTGTTGTGTCTTTTTCTCTTGGTTTGACAAACATGAGTTATTCTCTGTGCATCTCTCACTGAAGACCTGGGCCAACATAGCTTCTTCTTATTCACACTTAAGGGTAAGAATACCTTAAGTGTTGCTAAGTTATAGTTAGGAGTTAAGAAGTTCTGCTGTTCTATTGCATGATAGGATGACTATAGATAATGGTAAAGTACTGCATATTGCTCTAAAAAAATAGAAGAAAATATTTTGAGTGTTTTAACTGTAGAAAAGTTAACTGTTTGACAAGATAGATTTGTCACCCATTACTCAGTGTCTACATGTACAGAAATCTAATATGATATCCCATAAATATGTTCAATTCTTATGCGTCAATTAAACATAAAATTTTAAAAATAATATCTTAGGGGACCAGCGTTGTTGGGTAGCCACTGCCTGCAATGCTGGCATCCCATATGGGTACCAGTTTGTGTCCCAGCTGCTCCACTCCTGACCCATCTCCCTGCTAATGCACCTGGGAAAGCTGCAGAATTTGGCCCAAGTGCTTGGGACCCTGCCACCCACGTGAAAAGCCAGGTGAAACTCCTGGCTCCTGGCTTTGGCCTGGCCCAGCCCTGGCTGTTGTGACCATTTGGGAAGTGAACTGGGGCACAGAAGATCTCTCCCATGTCTTTCCCTCTCTCTCTCAATAACTGTGCCTTTCAAATAAATACATAAATCTTTTGTTAAATACCCTAAATCTGGTATTCCTGACAAAATAAAATGTTGTACCTACCATGGGTCATGATTTCAAACACAGACATTCTCAGAGCCACTTTTACTTTTCCACTTTCCCTAGAAGAAAGTAGCCCTGCGTCTGGTTAACTCAGTTAACCAGTGGCATGAGAATTTTCCAGTTGGCTGTGGCAAGGATAACCCATCCTGGCTGGCTGGCCTCTGTCTTCAGGGATCCAGACCTCACACTTTTGGGAGCACACTTTATGGCATATTGACTTCATAAAAGAAAATACAGTAGACCAAAACTTTTGGGACTGACCACTAACAACTTTTTTGTCTTAAAGTACCAAGTACATTATTATGCTGAAAGTATGAAGAAAATAATTGTCTATCTGTACATTAAGCCAGCTGATTCAGAGTGTACTTTGCTTTCCTAAAAAGCTAGAGGTCAAAAACAAAACATTTGTACCATAAATGATGTTGCTTGTTAAACCCAAAGCCTCTTATTTTCTAAATATTTCATTCCTTTGTAGAAGCACACCAGCAGCTAAAGTACTATAATAGCTACCACAATTATGTCCAGTAGCAAGACCCAAAACATTCCATTAAAGTCAGATGATGTTGAGCTGTCATCACAGTTGTTTAAGTCACTAGCCAGCAGTATAGATCAGATAATGTGGATAAATAAAATAGTCTTAGTTCATATTAGAACAGGTTGGCTGCTCTTGGAATGTGAATGTCTAGGCTGGTTACAAATACTTCTGTGTACCACACCAGTCTTTGGAGATTTGTAGATGTCTGCTGTCTCCAGGGATTGGACAAGAAGAAAATAATGCTAGTGAATCAATACCCACCCATTTAAAACACAGGGGCATGCATATGATAGCTGTTTTAGTCCATTTTCTGTTGTTATAACAAAATGCCCAAGGCTGGGTACTTTATAAAGTAAGTGGGTTTATTTGACTCACAATTCTAATGGCTGGAGGGTCCAAATAGCCTGGCAATTGGAGTCCTGCAAAGGGCCCCAGGGCTGTATCACAAAATGGCAAAGAAATGGAAAGCAAAATGGCAATGTGCAAAAGGGGCCAAAGCCCAGAGATTGGCCTCACTTTATAGCAACCCAGCCTTTCACAAACTACATTAACCTTTTCACTGGATGGCGCTCTAATGACCTACTTCCCACTAGGCCCTCTTAAAGGTTCCACCAACTCAACATTGCCACACTAGAGATCAAGCTTCCAGCACATGAACCTTTGCAAGACACACTCAAACCATATTCAAAGCATAGCATTCACCTTCATTTTTCAATCTTGCAGATTATCCAGAAGCTTCATCGTCTCTTGCTGTGGAAACGGAAACGTAGCAGTTTCCACATTTCCTGCATTTCTCAGACAGGTCAGTATTCTGAGAGAGGCACATCTAGTGCCACATGGACTGCCAAGAAGCAGACCTTGGAGCAGAACTTGAAAAGGAATAAGTTCTTATCCTGGTGAACAAACTGTGAAATTCTTCACTCTGTACTGCACACGTAAGCAGAAGTTCTATACATAATTTCCCTGTGTGATGTACTGCAAAAAGATGCCCTTCTTCCCTACAAACTCACACGTATATCACTTGTGCTAAAAGACCCCAGGGGACCCCAAACAACCAAACATCCCATTCAGGTTATTTACTTTCCTACTGTGAATTATAAACCTTGCCCTGGTATATGCCAGGTGTCTGAAATGATAGAGATTACAAATAGGGTCTTTTTGCCTGACTCTGTAGTCAGTTAATAACCTACTGTTACCCACTAACAGGCAAAAAGCACCTTCCCTGCACTCCAATCCTCCGAAAATGCTACTAATTTATTCATCAGGGAGAGGCAGCTTTATACTTGTGATTCTGTTTGGCTTAGTGAAAAGCTAAACGGCCTTCTTTTTTGCAATACTCACAGGTAAATAAGCCCAGTGTAATTCAGTATTGAAAGGAGAATTTGAGTTATAGAAACACCACTGAGCTTCAAGCTCTAATCTGATAAAATTTCCAGTTCTATTCCCTTGAAAATGCTAGTGATTACTCTAAACACCATCAATCTGTTTGTGGGTTCTTGGGTCCTCAGTTCTTTCCCTTAACAGAACTTCTGCTATGTACAAATGTAGGTACTGTGTAAGACCTGGTCTATATCAGCCACTTGACTATGTACTTGATATACATTCTCTCATTCATTTCTCACATCAACGTTGTGAGGTGAATGTTACTGTTCTCATTTTACCTATGAGAAAATTGAGGTGCAGAAAAGTTAAATTAGTTGTTAGAGGCTACATAGCTAGTAAGTGGCTAGCCTAAAAGTGCAATCCAGGTCTGTCTGACCTCACAGCCTACCATTTCCAGTATGGCACTATATTTAAAAAGCCAGGTTTAACAGAAGGAAGAATTTTTTTTAATGATTCAAAAGGTAAGATTTTTTTTATATAGAAAGCTTTTATTTAGATCAGAGTTGGTGAACTCAAGAGGCTTCCATAGCCTTGGCAGCTCATGATGAGAGCCTTGGGTGATTACTGACATCATAAATAAGAGTGTCAATTGTCAAATCAACAACAGGAGTCACTGTGCACCTGCTCCCCATGTAGGATCTTTGTCCTTAATGTGTTGTACGATGCGAATTAACAGTAAAATTACTACCCAAACGGTACTCTATACTTTGTGTGTCTGTGTGGGTGCAGTCTGTTGAAATCTTTACTTAGTATATACTAACTTGATCTTCTGTATATAAAGATAATTGAAAATGAATCGTGATGAAGAATGGGATGGGAGAGAGAGTGGGAGATGGGATGGTTGTGGGTGGGAGGGAGGTTATGGGGGGAAAAGCCACTATAATTCAGAAGTTGTACTTTGGAAATTTATATTTATTAAATAAAAGTTGAAAAAATAAAAATAAATAAAAAAGAAATCTTTTATTTAATAAATGTAAATTTCATAAGTACAACTTTTGGATTATAGTGGTTCTTCCCCCCATACCCACCCTCCCACCCCCAAACCATCCCACTTCCTACTGCCTCTCCCATCCCATCCTTCATTAAGATGCATTTTAATTATCTTTATATATAGAAGATCAACTCCACACTAAGTAAAGATTTCAACAGTTTGCACCCACACACACATAGTATAAAGTACTGTTTGAATACTAGTTTGACCGTTAATTCTCATTGTACAACACATTAAGAACAGAGGTCGGGAGCAAGTGCACAGTGACTCCAATTGTTGATTTGACAATTGACACTCTTATTTATGGCGTCAGTGATCACCCGAGGCTCTTGTCATGAGCTGCCAAGGCTATGGAAGCCTCGTGAGTCCACAAACTCTGACATTATTTAAACAAGGCCATAATCAAAGTGGAAGTTCTCTCCTCCCTTCAGAGAAAGGTACCTCCTTCTTTGATGGCCCCTTCTTTCCGCTGGGATCTCACTCACAGAGATCTTTCATGTAGGTCATTTTTTTTGCCACAGTGTCTTGGCTTTCCATACCTGAAATGCTCTCATGGACTTTTTAGCCAGATCCAAATGTCTTTAAGGGCTGATTCTGAGACCAGAGTGCTGTTTAGGGCATTTGTCTTTCTATGAGTCTGTTGTGTATCCTGCTTAGAAGAAATAATTAAGTGTTTTTTTCTTATTCAATGTGTTGATAATTGATGTATAACTAAAACAACTTGTGGTAGAAATATCTAGATTTCAGTTGTCTATGATGCTCATCTCTCTCATGTTCTTATTTAAGCATTTTGCTAAGGGCATTCTATGAAACATTAGTACTTGAACATGTTAACAAATGTTAAAGGAGAGGAAAAGTGCTCCGGGGAATAAATTTGGGAAGCCCTCTGAAAGTAGAAGCAAAATGAGAGTTTCTTGTGTGTAGGACTTCCACTATGCTGATGAGTTTTGTGACTCATCAAGGGAAGATTGTATTTGCCCCTTGAACTTAGTTGACCCCTGTATTCTTTCTTTTGTGCAGATTATTGAACCTTTTATTTAGTGCAGTACTTTCAGGATTTTTAAATTTTTCATTAACTGTATCTGTTGGGGAGACAGACAAAAATAGAGAGCTCCTCTTTGCTGGTTCACACACCAAATGCTCACATGGCCAGGGCTAGGCCAGGCTGAAGCCAGGAGCCAGGAATTCAATCCAGGTCTCCCATGTGGGTGGCAGGGACCCAACTACTTGAGCCATCATCTGCTGCTTCCTAGGATACACATTAGCAGGAAGGTGCAGTCAGAAGTGGGGCCAGAATTTGAACCTAGGCACTCTGATATGGGATACCTATATTTGAGCTTGGTGGATTAACTATTAAACCACACACACACACACACACACCCGTCAGCACTTTTAATATACTAAAGAGCTTTGTGAATGCTCTGAAGTTAAATAAGTTAATTCTCAAACTTATATGACTGTATAAGTCTTTTCTTTTTCAGGAAATCTTGAAATAATATTTTTAAAATGCTTTCCTTGATAAGCAAAATTGCCTTTAAACAATGCTATTTCCAGGGCATTGTCTAAATGAATTATGTAACTGATTAGTTTTGGGGTAACAGCAAAGTCATATTCTTTTTTTTTTACTTGACAGGTAGAGTTATAAACAGTGAGAGAGAGAGAGAGAAAGGTCTTTCTTCCGTTGGTTCACTCCCCAAATGGCCGCTATGGCCGGTGCTGCACCGATCTGAAGCCAGGAGCCAGGTGCTTCCTTCTGGTCTCCTATGCAGGTGCAGGGGCCCAAGCACTTGGGCCATCTTCTACTGCCCTCCCGGGCCACAGCAGAGAGCTGGACTGGAAGAGGAGCAGCCAGGACTAGAACCCGGTGCCCATATGGGATGCCGGCGCGGGAGGCGGAGGATTAACCAAGTGAGCCATGGCGCCGGCCCCCAAAGTCATATTCTGATAATAGAAAAATATTTTGGAATACAGGAGAGAGGAGTGGGAGAAATATTTTTATAAATATTTTATTTATTTGAGAGGTAGAGTTACAGACAGTGAGAAGAAGAGACAGAGAGAAAGGTCTTCCTTCCATTGGTTCACTCCCCAACTGGCCACCTATTCAAAGCCAGGAGCCAGGAGCTTCTTCCCTGTCCCCCATGCAGGTGCAGGGGCCCAAGCAGTTGGGCCATCTTCTGCTGCCTTCCCCGGGCCATAGCAGAGAGCTGGATTGGAAGAAGAGCAGCTGGGACTAGAACCAGTGCCCATATGGGATACCGGCGCCACAGGAGGAGGATTAACCTACTGTGCCAAGGTGCCGGCCCCTGGGAGAAATATTTTAAAACTAAGATATGAAGGTTTTTTTAAATGTATACAGATAATTACTAAGTGATATTTGTGAAAGTTCCTAACTGAAAACAATTTGAATGTCTATGAATTGGAGAGTGGTTGAATAAAGTATTAGATTTTTATATACTTTTTTCTTCATTTTATTTTGAAAACTTTTTATACTAATAAAACAATGGGGACAGGCATGTAGACCAGCAGTTAAAATGCAGATTAACATGCTCACATCCCCTATCAGAGTGCCTCAGTTTCACGTGTGGCTCAATCTCCCAATTCCAGTTTTCTGCCAATGCAGATCCTGGGAAGCACTGGTGATAGCTCAAGTGATTGAGTTTCTGCCACCCAGGTAAGAATTCTAGGCTGAGTTCCCAGCTGCCAGCTTCAGCTCTGCCCGGTCCCAGCCATTGTAAGCATTTGGGGAGTGAATAAGAAGACAGGGGATTCTCTCTCTCTCTCTCTCTCTCTGCCTCTCAAATAAATAAATAATAGGAGCGGGCTCCTTGGCACAGTGGGCCAGCATCCCATATGGGCACCGATTCTAGTCCCAGCTTCCCCTCTTCCAGTCCAGCTCTCTGCTATGGCCTGGGAAAGCAGTAGAAGATGGCCCAAGTTCTTGGGCCCCTGCAACTGTGTGGGAGACTCGGCAGAAGCTCCTGGCTCCTGGCTCCTGGCTCCTGGCTCCTGGCTCCTGGCTTCGGATCAACTCAGCTCCGGCCATCGCGGTCATCTGGGGAGTGAACCAGCGGTGGAAAACCTCTTTCTCTCTCTCTCTCTGCCTCTCCTTCTCTCTCTGTGTAACTCTAACTTTCAAGTAAATAAAGTAAAATATATATAAAATAAAAAATAAAAATTTTTAAAACAAACAGCTGAAGGATAAAAAGAATGCTCATTTGTTTACAACTTATAATTAACAATGCTAACTTTTTTCATTTTATCTCAATTTTTTTGTATATAAAAAGAAAAAACTTACATAATTTTACCCAAAAATGTGCTGATCCTAAATGATGTTTTCTTCAAAATAAAAAGACAAACTTGACAGGGCATTTGCAAAATATCTAACACAAAAAATTTCACAACCTTAATTTACAAAGCTCTTGCAAATCAATAGATGAAAGAAAACTACAATAGCTAGAAAATTGTTAAAGAATGTGAAAAGACAATCACCAAAATAAAAATTAAAGCAAAGAATAAACATGAAAATTGTTCAACTTCATTGTAAAGAAATACAAATGAAGATAACCTAAATTACTAATTTTTGTTCATTAAGTCAGCCAATTTTTACAAATTATAGTATCTAATGTTGGCAGGGACATGTTGAAACAGGTGCTCTTATACACTGCTGATGTAAATTTAGATTCATGGATCATTTTGGAGAGCAATTTAGCAACATGTTATGAACCTTAAAACGTTCATATAATTTTATCTGGTAACTCCATTTTAGGAATATATTTTAATGAAATAATCAGAGATCTGCACAGCTATTTATCTGCTATTATAATAGCAAAAAATCTGAAACAAAACTAAATATCTAGCAATAAAGAGTGGTGAAATAAGTGGCTACATTATTATGATGAAATACTGTGCAATCCTTAAAAATAATTATTTTGAAGAATAACAGGGTTATGTAAAAAAGCTATGTAAATGCAGTTTGAATTGTTCTGTTTTGTTTTGTTGGATTTATTTATTTAATTGAAAGAGTTACAAACAGAGGGAGAGACAGAGATTACCTGGGTCTCCCACGTGGGTGGCAGGGCCCCAAGCACTAAGGGCCATCTTCCACTGCTTTCCTAGGTACATTAGCAAGGAGTTGGATCGGAGGTGGAGCATCTGAAACTCAAACCATTGTTCACATGGGACGCTGGCATTGCAGGCAGTGACCCAACCCACTGTTTCACAATGCTGACCCCAAATTCAGTGTTTTTAGGTAAATTCACAAAGTTGTGCAACCATCAACACAATCAATTTAAGAACATTTTTTAAAACCTGTTTTTAGGAGCTTGCATTGTGGCAAAGCAAGTTAAGCCACCGCCTGTAATGCTGGCATCCCATAAAAATGCCGGTTTGAGACCCAGCTGCTCCACTTCTGATCCAGTTCCCCACTAATGCACGTGGGAAAGCAGCGGACCGATGACCCAAGTACTTGGTCTCCTGCACCCACATGGGAGGCCCAGATGGAATTCCAGGCTCCTGGCTTCAGCCTGGCTCATTTTGGTCATTTGGGGAGTAAACCAGCAGATGGAAGGTCTGAGTGTCCCTCTCTGTGTGTAACTCTGCCTTTCAAATAAATAAATACATTTTTAAAAAATCTATTTTTATTTATTTGAAAGGCAGAGAGACAGAGATCTTTAATCTGCTGATTCATGGCCCAAATGCCTGCAACAACCTTGTCTGGGCCAAGCTGGAGCCAGGAATCTGGAACTCAATTCAGGTCACTCATGGGGGTGACATGTTCATAATAAAAAAGAAAATTAAAATCACTCATAATCACACAACCTAAAGATAGCTCTTGTTAACATTTGTATCCATTCCATTATTTTCTATGAATATATTTTTCAACATTGATTCTTTTATTGTATTCTGTTTTGAATTCTGCTTTTTCACAAACACCAAAAGTAATTTCCCATTGAATCAGGGTACTTTATTTATTTAATTTATTCTTTGCTATTGGACATGTCTATATTATGAAAAAGATATTAATAATATCATTGAATTTGAATATTTTTCCTTATTTATAACCATTCCCACAGGATAGAACCCTGGAAACAAATCTGTTGTTATGAACTTTTAAAATACTCATGACCTAGCTGTTTTCCAGAAAGCCTGTAATAGCTTAAAATGGCTAGTTGAGGGCCTCCTACATGCCAGGTATTCCTTTAGATAGATTTCTTTTTTAAAAAAAGAGATTTATTTATTTCTTTACTTTGAAAGTCAGAGTTACACAGAGAGAGGAGAGGCAGAGCAAGAGAGGTCTTCCATCCGCTGGTTCAGTCCCCAGTTGGCCGTAATGGCTGGAGCTGCACTGATCCGAAGCCAGGAGCTGGGAGCTTCTTCTGGGTCTCCCACATGGATGCAGAGGCCCAAGGACTTGGGCCATCTTCCGCTGCTTTCCCAGGCCATAGCAGAGAGCTGGATTGGAAGTGGTGCAGGTCTTGAACTGGCGCCCATATGGGATACCGGCACTTCAGGCCAGAGTGTTAACCCACTGCGCCACAGCGCCGGCCTACTATGCTTGTTTTACAGATAAAGAAATGTAGGCTTACTGATGTTATTTTCTCAGAATCACAAAGATAGCAAGTGGCAAAGCTAGATTCAACTTCAGAATTGTCTAATTTCAAAATTCAGGTTTATCTCCTGTGAATTTCAAAAATATTTTTTAATCAAATTACTATATATTTCCCAAAGATAATGTGTAAAATACCAAATAGAAAGTAGGGGAAAAGAAACTAAATTATTCATGGATCTATACCTTCAACAGTATTTCCTCATTCTTTTGCTCCAGATACAATTTTTGGTTTAAAAGTGACTGTAACATTGTTTGTATAATTTTGCTTCCTTCTTTCTTCATTTGCAGCTTGTCCATACTATTCATAAATGTAATTTTAATGGTTGCATATTGTTGTCCAATGGATGCTGGGATGTGAATACTTACAGCTGTTCAGCTCACCTGTGAATTTCTTTTTCCATTCTCAGGACCCACCATCTCCCAAGAGGCTTACAGAGTTCAGTGTTGGGAACCATTCTAATCTTCAAAATAAGTCACCATGCTGGATTGAAAGCTTCATGATTTGAAAGCATTCTGTCAAATCCTTGCTTTGCAGATGTTTCAGGACTTTACAAATTGTTTAATGTACTGACTGAACTTCAGTTTGGTAGCAGTTAATTCAAGTCAGTTCTCTCTTCATTTCTCCTGCCCCAATCCATGAAAGCCTAAATGTAAAGTATAGCTTTTCATTCATCTTTTCAGGTAAAAGGGAATTTATAAGACTTCCTTGGAGTCTTTAGTTCCCCAAGAAAGACTATCAATCATATCTATAGGGTCTTCTGGGTATTGAAGGGAATCAGACTACAGACTACATTTGCTGCTTATGTGTATGTGTGTTGGTAAACATGTATATGTGCAGCACATCTATACAAAATTCTGCTAACTGTTGTGAAAATCAAGGTTGTTTTTTTTTAAAAAATAGAGGCTTTTATGTAATCATGCTTTTCACCTAAGGAGCAGTTTAAATATTTGCAGAGCTTTGAACCATCCCCATATCAGGTATCTAAGTTTGAAAGGGAGATTCAATGCGCTGTGACCAAGGTGCTCAAATTGGGAATTCAACAACAATGTAAAACCTGTTCTCTGTCACAGAGGTTCCTGAAAGCACCACAGTTAATAGAGAAGATCAGCTCAGATTTCGTTCCACTTTATTAAACATAATAATTAATGTTTTAAAGGTTTTTAGTACCAGGCTGTGCTAAAATTCTCCAATTACTTTTATTCATGTCATTGCTGCCTATCTTTATTTTAGCCTTTATAAATGACTTTTATGATGAAAAAAAAAAACCTATATGCCTAAGTTATAGACCATAGGTTTTCTCAAGGGTTCTAAGGATGAATTTCAGGTTTAATTACAACACTGTTCAAAGGGGTAAAGTTTCACAGCTGACATTAGCCTGAGGATTAGCACTAAAGCTCTGTGTTTGCACAGTAGGGGTTAATGTACAGATAGTGATAACTGAACAGTAATATGCCAATCTTTTTTTAACTTCAGTGGTGGCTCAGCCATTAAGACAGTTTACATCCATTTCCCCATTTATTTATAATCAGCCTTTCTTTCAGTCCTAGTGCCTGAATCAATGAATATGGACACTAATGCTGCTTCTTTATACTAATAATACCTGACTATTGATATTTCTTATTTTTCAACCAGCACTCTAGTGCCCAGCTGCTGACAATAAAAGCTCCAACTCTTACAGAGATCAGTGGGAGTTAGAAGCATCTTATAGATATCAAGGAATTGAACTCCTAGAGGTACGATTAGGTATACTAAATTATCCTCCTGAAATCTTTTTGAGTAAAAAAGAGTTACCTGTCAGATGATTCAGTGGTGGGGCCACCGTGGAACTGAGAAGGTGAGCCATCAGCTACTTAAAGCGACAACAAAGCCTGTTCATTTGGGTCTCCTAGGTAATTTTGATAAAAAGTGAGACTTTTAACAGACATTAAATGAATTGTGGTCAACAGTTCATCTGAGAGCATACTAGATATGTCTAAACATATTAGGGCTGGGAACTGTTGCTCAAACTCAAAATCCAAAAAGCAACCTAGAAGACTATGCACACTGGGTTTCATAATGAAATCTTATATATTCAAATAGAAAGATTACCCCTCTGCTCTCCCTCCAAAACACCATCTTATTTAGGTTTCTCTCAAAAGCTTATTTGGCCATCCACATGGTTTTACGATAGACAAGGCTGGCCTTCTACTCCTGTAGAGATGCACCTTTCTTTAAATGGAGGGCCATGACTTACTTCACAGCCAGTGGGCCTCAAAGCAATCTTCCTTATTCCCATCTATCTCATCTTCTGCCAAGAGTTTAGGCAGAGCAGCTGCTAACTATGATTCAAAGTCAGGAAGGATCAAGAATGTCTTTATTGCATAGAGTATATCAGTACTCAGTTGTCACAGAAATCAGGGCACAAAAGATAGCATCAAGTAAACTACTGGGAAGCACTGGAAGGCTAAATCTCAGGGGAGCCATAATGCAAAGCTAATTGTTTAATATCTTACAGACTTACACTGTCTTCAAAAGCCAAATAAATCAGGGTTTTGTCTGGGGGCTTGGAGATAAAAGGAAACCATATCCCTATCTTAGCACCTTGATCACTGTTTTATAGACTTGGATAAGATCTCTACCTATGGATCATTTGAGTATTGACTTCTGTATATAAGCATCCAACTGTTTGATTATTGATCAAAAAGACAGAGGTTTTTGTAATAATTCATGCACCCTGATATGGCTCCTTTCTTGCTTTTCCTTGGAGCCCTATTCAATAACCTCTGTGGGATCTCATTTCCCAATCTTTGGTACTTCTCGTCCCTATTTTCAAAATGAAGGTACTCACTGTTAGGATCCTACAGCTGAAAGGTGCTATGTAACTCCCTAGTGCTCTTATATGTCTTTAGTTGCAGGACTGGAATGAAAAGTTGAACCATAATGGTATTTCTAAGCAAATGAGTGTGTTCCATTCTTTCTTCAATACACTTGTTGCTGATTTTTTTCTTGCAGAACTTTCAGTATGTTGCTTAATATTCTTCCATTTGTTTCAATAATATCCTTGGGAAGATATAGAATAGAAATTATTTTCCCCGTGGTACAGCAGGAAAAAATTATTGGACAAAAGAGATGAAATGCCCTCCCAAAGAACATAGCTATCTTGAACAGAACTCACAGTTACCATGTCCAATAACTAGTAGAGTGACTTGGCTTCCCAGTATTGGAATTAGCATGGAGCAGCTTAGAACATTAAGAACAATCAGGACAGGTTAATATTCAAAGAGTCTGCTTTGTTCACAGTCTTAAAGTATGCAATTTATACAGCGCTTCTTTTCTGTGATAAAAATGCAACATATGTGCCTCTTGCCCCCCACTGGCACTGTGTGACACATGTTTCACACTGTATGGACTCAGCCAGTGCCATTATCTCTTTTGACACCCCTCATGGCAAATCCTAGGGCTGCCTTTGCCAGGGAAAAGAATGTGCTTCCCCATATTGATGCCAAATTGCACAAAGTGTAGACATCGAGGTCAGTAGAGATTTAAGCACAATCCTAGCAGGTATGTTTTAAGAATATTGAATATACATTGTAGTAATATGCACATGAAATTTAACAAGGCCCAAATCTACAGGAATATACCAGTCATTCAAAGCCTATCCCTTTCAGCTGTCATCACACTTAACCTACGTGAAGATGTGCATGCGCACAAACATTTCCCCCACCCCAATGCAGGCTGCCTGGTCACCAGGAGCAAACATTTTAAAGGAATGATTTTCTGTCCTCTTTTTTTTTTTTTTAAAGTCAACACTTACAACAAACAAAGAACATTCCATTGATAACATTCCTGAACCTCTGCACTCAGAGTGGCTAGGAGACTCAGTGCAAAAGATATTTTCTGTGCAGGGGCATAGAGGGCATCTATCAAGCTTGTCCAACCCTTCCAAAATCCCATGTTCCTAGAAAATCCATACATTCCATCCAATCAGTAGGAAGTGGTTGATGAGGTATGGTACATCTGCATTTCTTCAGGCATAGCCGTAATGTACCATATTAAATTGTAGCCTTTTGCATGTAGGTGTTATATAACATAATAATGAATGGGAGGCTCCTAATAGCATGCAATCCATGACTGTTTACTTCCCCAAAAGGGCTAGGGCTGTATCCTGCACAGTGTTTGAAACCATTTCTTGTGCTCTTTGGATCAGCCTGTACAAGGCCATTGGCAGAATGAGTTTTTAAAAAAATACAATGAATTCAATATGTCAGGAAATAGATTCTTAGAAGGGAATGGTATTAAAGGAAACAACAATAAGATAAGATGCATTCAAGGAATAATTGCTTTCACCCTGCTGGTTAAATCAGCAAAGGAACACAGCAGGAAAGCTCGGACTAGGTCTTGGGTTATATGAAATGTTTTGGAGAGCAAGAAACAGAAAAGCACTGGGGACCTCAGCAGTTAAGCTCAAGTTGCCAACTTGCTATAAATCTTTTTTCCACCAATCTGCTCAAAGTGATTGTATACAGTATTCTTAAAACCATGTGTCTTGCTGCAGAAATACTGACAAATTCTGGCCAGCTTTATCTTCCTATGTCCTTTATTAAAGGTATATCCATAAAATTATTGTTTCTTTTCTATATTATGGTTTTGTTGAACAATGTTGGCAAAGCCTAAAGTTTCAAACCACTCGGATTGAAGTTTCTACACATCTCATTTCATGGAGGTATAATGGAATTTATTCACTCTCAGGTTGACTGTTATGAGTATGTGTGGTAGGTAAATGCTTACGTAACATCTCATCTCCTGAATGCCCCATCTCCCTTATTCTCATTGTTTCTCTCTTATGTCCCTCATGAACATGAGTTGAGAAATTAGCAGCAATGGCTTTTAAGAGAGAAAGCAGAATAGTCTGGTGGCACTTAAATCATGTTCAGTCTCTACTCAGCTTCATACATCCTTTGCCTTTCACTCTACTATTGTGAGAAGTAAAAAGAAAAGGAAAACTTATCTTATGGGCCTAAGGGTGATGTAAACTCCAGTTGGCTTCTTTTTTTTTTCACACTAAAAACTATGTTTATTGTCCAGATACATGCCAACTGAAGAAAGAATACAGTGGTCTTGAGAAAAGAACGTGGCCAGCGCCGCGGCTCAATAGGCTAATCCTCCACCTAGCAGCGCCGGCACACTGGGTTCTAGTCCCGGTCGGGGCGCCGAATTCTGTCCCAGTTGCCCCTCTTCCAGGCCAGCTCTCTGCTGTGGCCCGGGAAGGCAGTGGAGGATGGCCCAAGTGCTTGGGCCCTGCACCCCATGGGAGACCAGGAGAAGCACCTGGCTCCTGCCTTCGGATCAGTGCGGTGCACCGGCCGCAGTGCACCAGCAGTAGCGCGCCAGCCATGACAGCCATTGGAGGGTGAACCAATGGCAAAAGGAAGACCTTTCTCTGTCTCTCTCTCTCACTATCCACTCTGCCTGTCAAAAAAGAGAGAGAGAGAGAGAGAGAGAGAGAGAGAGAGAGAGAGAAAAGAACGTAGTAGCCTGCTTGCTCCTGAAATATTTGAAGAGACCCTCATTAAGTTAAGACCCAAATAAAGGTTCCTTCAACGATGTGCCATTTACACAAAAAGTTCTTTTCAGTAATAATGGAGAAAGCCCCCCAATTAGCCAACCAGGAAAGCCAAAATCATTGAAATACAGAGCATTGAAAGCTGAAGTTTGGAACAGTCAATGTTGACTGACAAAATAATAATGGAGAACTTGAATCACTTAGGAGAGGCTTAATCCATAGAGTTCAGGCTTACTGCAGAACCAAAAACATGTGTTCTATTCTAGTTAAGCTTATAAAAACAAGTTCTTTACCCTTGGTAAAGATCTCAAATACTTCTGCTGAAAAGCCTATTTCATTTATTCCAATGCATCAGCTATAAACAGTTTGAATTGATATCACAAGCAACATAAAAACATTCATACTATACTAGAATTAAAAGACAAGTAAGTTCTCTCTGGATTAAAAAAAAAGATAAAAGAATAAATCTTTATAGAAGAATATTATTTAAGTAAAGATTACTGAAGAAATTTAAAATAGATATTTAAGAGGAAACTTTAATATATAGAGATAAATAAAGGTGTACTAGTTTGCACAGTGCTTCACACAGGGACACAGAAACATATTGACATGCACTTTCTTCCTGTTATAAGCAACAAATTTTTTCAAATGTAATTTTATCACCATATGCAATGACGTTGAAATCCTAGTCAGTTTCTCTTGGAAGATTGAAATATTCATGCTCTCACAGAAGCATAATGTTTCAGTGGTTAGACTGCCAACTGTAGAGAAGTGGAAAGATCTTGATAGCAAGAAGTACGTTTTAAGCAAACCTTTCTTTAAAAAAAAGATTTATTTATTTATTTGAAAGGCTGAGTAACAGAAAGAGGGAGAGGGAGAGGGAGAGGGAGAGGGAGAGGGAGAGAGAGAGAGAGAGCTTCTATATTCTGGCTCACTCTCCAAATGGACACAATGGCAGGGCTGGGCCAGGCCACAGCCAGGAGCCTGAAACTCCACCCAGGTCTCCCACATGGATTCTGGGGCCCAAGAACTTGGACCATCTTCAGCTGCTCTCCCAGGCACATTAGCAGGGAGCTGGATTAGACATGGAGCAGCTGGGACACAAACTGGTGCTCCAATATGGTATGCCTGCATCACAGGCGGCAGCTTAGTTTGTGCGCCACAAAGCTAGCCCTGAAAACTTTTTAAAAGCAAGTATTTGAATGTGTTTATTGTTTTTTTTATAGATTTATTTATTTTATTTGAAAGTCAGTTACACAGAGAGAGAAGGAGAAGCGGACAGATAGAGAGGTCTTCCGTCTGCTGGTTCACTCCCCCATTGGCCACAATGGCTGGAGCTGCAAGGATCTGAAACTAGGAGCTTCTTCCAGGTCTCCCACGCAGGTGCAGGAGCCCAAGGGCTTGGGTCATCCACCACTGATTTCCCAGGCCACAGCAGAGAGCTGGATAAGAAGTGGAGCAGCCGGGGCTCGAACCGGCGCCCCTATGGGATGCCAGCACTGCAGGCAGCAGCTTCACCAGCTATGCCAGAACGCTGGCCCCGTGTTTATTGTTTTGAAGGAAATTTTCCTCAGAAACCTAAAGTGAAGTACTCAAATCAATCTTGCAAATTAGTGCAGTCTCAGACCAAGAGCTGGACAATGTCGGCAAACTCTAATTTAAATCTGGCTACAAAATAAATAAATCTGGCTACAGCATGTAAGAATTGCAATGGAAATAAAACTATTTACAGGGAAAGCAAAAGTTTAGCTATAGGAACATTAAAGAATGTAGGTTGCCAATTAGTAAAAAATTGTCATTAGGTTACACTTACCAACCTACTATCATCCTGTACATCAATATTTAACTCATGTCAGTGTTATTTTTAGTGATACTGACATTGGTTTTTAAATGTCAGAAATGGGCTTTTAAAGAGAATTTTCTATTATAAGCATTATGCTCATTTTCCCTCTCAAATCCCTTGACATTTATTGGATCTTGGAAGCTGCATGCATACAGTTTTAATAGCTCTTTTTTTATTATTATATGAGAGGGAGAGACAGAGACAGAGAGCTCCCAACTGCTAGTTCACTCCCCAAATGTCCAGGACTGAGGCTGGGCCAGGGGAAACCAGAAGCCAGGAACCCCATCCAGGACAATTAGAAAACACTTATTAGAGTAATGAGCTTCAGAGGGACCCAACACAAATGCAAATCTGTAGTTCCTTCTGAGTCATAAAGAATCTGTATAGCAGACCTACCAGGTGTTGTGAGGGCCCTGTGAGATGGAAAAAAGTAAGGGGAAACACTGGGGACATCAGCAAAGGGGAGATAGGAAAAGGTACATTTTAAACCCTTTTTCATTTTCTAGATAATTTTCAATTTATTTCAAATGTTTTTTTTTTAAGATTTATTTATTTGAAAGACAGAGTTACAGAGAGAGGTAGAGACAGTGAGAGAGGTCTTCCATCCGCTGGTTCACTCCCCAGATGGTCAAAACAGAAACCAGGAACCAGGAGCTTCTTCTGGGTCTCCCACGTGGGTGCAGGGTCCCAAGGACTGGGGCCATCTTCTACTGCTTTCCCAGGCCATAACAGAGAGCTGGATTGGAAGAGGAGCAGCTGGGACTTGAACCAGCACCCATATGGGATGCCGGTGCTTCAGGCCAGGGCTTTAACCTGCTGCGCCACAGCACCGGCTCGTCAAACGTATTTTCAATCTATAAAAGTTGCAACTTTGTTGAGGGTAAATTAATTTATCTCATCTATGTCTATTGTATTAGCTGAGTGACCCAGAGACAACTTCAGATTTGCATTTCTATCATTGCCTTGGTCTGATTCTCTTAACAGTAACAACTGGAGCACCTATTTCTAAACGGTTTGTAAATACCTTCATTTGTCATGGACTTATGAAATTTCCCATTTTTTTATTTATCAGAAAGTTTAAGTCAACTTCAGTTCAGCCAAAGTCATCAGAAACAACTTTGCATCCATGTGACTGCTTTTTAAAACTTATCATTTGATGTTTTTACCCTTGAACTTTTTGGAGTACCCTTATATATGCACCCAACATTGGAATACCTAAAATATATAAAGCAAACATTAACAGATCTGAAGAGAAAGAAAGCATTATGATAATAGGGAACATCAGTATCCCACTTTGGACACGGATAGATCACCCATTGTAAGGATGATATTCAGTAAGAGAACATTAAACTTAAACTAAACATTAGACCAAATGGAACTCACAGGTTTATATGGAACATTTCCTCCAATCAGAGCAGAACACACTTCTCAAGAGCACACAGAATGTTTTCCAGAGTAGATAATATTTTAGACCTCAGAATAAGCTTCAACAATTTTTTAAATTGAATGGCTTTTTTATATTTAACAGTTTTTTAACATTTTGCTGTATTCACTTCATATGTAAATATTATATACATGTACGTACAATTTTTCTTGAAAGCAATATCATGTAATCTGAGATTCATTAAAATGGTCATAAAGTGAGGGAAAAAGGGTATATTATTAAGCAGAGGGTATATAACTGTATTCTTTTTAAAAAATTTATTTACTTATTTGAAAGAATTACAGACAGAAAGGGAGAGACACAGAGAGAGCAATCTGGTTCACTCCTCAACTGCCAGCGCTGGGCCAGGCTGAAGCCAGGAGTCAGGAGCTTCATCCAGGTTTCCCGCATGGGCACAGGGGCTCAAGAACTCGGGGCCATTTTCCAATGCTTTTCCCAGGTCATTAGCAGGGATCTTGGTTGGAAGTAGAGCGGCCGGGACAGGAACTGGCGCCATATGGGATGCTGGCATCAACAGGTGGTGGCTAAGCCGGCCTCCATGTAACTTTTCAGTGAAATAAACAGTACAGTTGATAAATTTTAAAGTGTTTACATTACACGGAATCTTTCTAGTACTACCCAATCTAGCTTTTAAATCTATTTCTTCATGATAATTCTCACTGTTGTAAGTTGCCATCCTTGTTAGCACTATTGAAAAACAATAAAAGTGGAATAGTAAGAAGGGAGGAAGAGAGGCACCATGCTGGAACTTATTTGAGGAGGGCTTAAAT